TCATAGTAGCACTTTAACTTCGAACGTCGTTATCAACGTGGTGTATATCTCTTTGGCTTCAATGCTTTTTTGGTTACAAATCCTTCAGTTTGGAATTATTGATGGGTTGCAAGCATTCCCAAGAGAGTCAAAAGACAAAAGCATGGCGGCCATTGTGGTACCGTTAACAATGGATGCTAATGAGAAATCTTTTGTTAAATGGCAAATGTTAAATGCAATCGAAGAATTAAGGGTACCAGGGGATCTTCGCGACCAATGTTCACTAAAAACGTCATAGCGCACTAACTATTTATCTAATGGCTCTAAAAGTATATATTTTCTTGATGCTGAGTAAACACAGATTTCAACCATGAGAATTATTTTTTGATCAATCCAATCAGTTTTTTTAAGATTACGAGTTTTATAATTTCCAAGACGTTCCTGGAACGCCGGATTTCAATCGATTTCGCTTTAACTTTGCAGATATATTACGACCAATATCTCATCTCAAATCTCATTCCCTTTACATCGCATATATGTTAATCAGACTGTGAATTGGGTGGGCTTTGCGCATTTAGACCCCCTCTTCCATCACATGCACCACCTTAGTAGAATTTTCGGCAAATTATCATTAACACAAGACAAGTCAAGACAAAGCTTGTACCTGTTTTCCAGCAAAGGTCATCATTACATAGGGATCAACTAAGGCTTTGGATTTCTACAACCATAAAACGAGAAAAAAATTGATGTTTGTTTGTTCGTTGTCTGATTACAAACAGCAAATGCGTTATTTATTGAGAATGTTTTGAATTGCTCACCTCGCCAATGTTAAACACTTTCTTTAGATTTTCCGTGAATGCGGAATCCACTGTTGCATGACAAAGAAAAATAGTTTAACAACAGCGTATAGCTTTGTAGATTTTTTTTAGATGAATTTGAAATCATTCCACAATGCCTTGAAACACATGATATCAAGTGGTCAAACTCACTCAAGTTGTAAAATAGATATACTATCACATTGTCAAACTCACTCTGTGGGATGTCCTCAGCCCTGAAGACTTTAAGACAGAAAGCTGCTGGCCTGAGCATGACGCCCGCAGGCTGAAGCATATTCCTGATAAAACATAACAAAAAACGTCATTAGAAAAAGTGGCTAGCTTAGGAAATCATGTTCATGGGGGAAAATGTCTCTTACTCTTCCATATCGTCTTCATCATCCTCGTTGGAAACCTCCGGAATTTCCTTGATGGAAAAAAATAGATGCAATTAACCAAAGTCATTAATCATATTAATTAAATGGGTAAAAGGATAGATGGATGGATGGATGGATCAAAACTACTTTATCTATACTTACTGGTGCTTCGTCACCCGGTCCCAAAACCATGATAGTCACCTTCAAGTATCCCTGTGGAAAAAAAATTAAAACATCGCACATATTATGCTGAAGACTGATCAAAGGGCATTGCAGGTGCAAAAATATATATTTAAGAAACAAGCACAAAGAACAAAATTCGAATATGTGACACCAAACCTCTCGATTATCTGAACGCGAGAAAATAACTCAGAATGAACTGAAAATCAGTATCGTACAGGTAATAACAGGTATTAGTGTACACTCGATTGAAGAACGTTTTATTTGTTAACTTGCATGAGAAAGACTTGCATGAGAAAGACTTGCAGGAGAAAGACTTGCATGAGAAAGAATTGCATAAGAAAGACTTGCATAAGAAAGACTTGCATGAGAAAGACTTGCATAAGAAAGACTTGCATAAGAAAGACTTGCATGACAAAGACTTGCATAAGAAAGACTTGCATGACAAAGACTTGCACGAGAAAGATTTCCATGACGAAGACTTGCATGACAAAGACTTGCATTACAAAGACTTGCATGACAAAGACTTGCATGACAAAGTCTTGCATAAGAAAGACTTGCATGAGAAAGACTTCATGGACTTCTGTCAAAACCCTTCTTACCTTTACTCCACCCATGATGTCTTCGGGATCAGTTAGCAAAAGCCAACGTCGAATGATGGTATGATCTGTTTGTACAATACATCAATCATTATTAATTTGCTCACACACAGAACATCAATTTCTTAAGTATTCTATGGCTTATATTTTTTTGGAAGCATAACGTTTTGGGGAAACCGAAATATCTATGCAAAGCACAGGAATTCCGACCCATCAAAAAATTATATTTCACAATCACCACTCCCCGTAAGGGGGCTCTTCCGTGAGGTTCCCTCCACACGCACTAACATTACATGGCTCGAAAGGTTTTCCCATTCCATTCAAAAGCGCTGAACTGAGTTGATATTACTTGAAAGGGTAGATGGTACAGAGGAGCGAGGGGGGAGAAGAGGGGAGATGGGACTGAGGAGCGAGGAGGGAGAAGAGGGGAGATGGGACTGAGGAGCGAGGGGCGAGAAGAGGGGAGATGGTACTGAGGAGCGAGGGAGGAGAAGAGGGGAGATGGGACTGGGAGTGAGGGGGAGGAGAGGGGAGATGACATTGAGGAGCGAGGGGAAGGAAGAAGGAGATGGGAGGAGCGAGAGGGGAGGGGACTCCATAGATTATTTTTGCACCCTCTAGGGAAAAAGATGATGATTTTCTATAGTATACGTTTTACCTTTTTGATCATAGAAGAACCCTACGTCAATCTGTGAATAAAACAGTTCAAATTACCAAATTGACATCAGATTTTTATGTGTCTGTCCTCTTATTGACAATAAATTGCGTCATCACATTGTCAAAGTAGTGTGGATCCGCATACTACTTTTTCAATAAGAGGACAGACACATAAAAATTTGATGACAATTTGTTTTTTACAATAACAAAAACGATAAAAACTTCTCATTTTTAGCGATCAAAACAACCAACGGAAAGAGCGCGCGCTCGTTTACGTCAGCTTTATCTGCCTGCCCTCTTATTGATGATAAAAAATAACCAATCAGCGCGTGAGAAATTTGTAAGTTATTGTAAAACGCGTTATAAATACCAGTGTTTGGTATGTAAATTATGATGGTTTACGAATGCGGTATCATCGCGCGCAAAAGCAAGCCGCAGACGCGGAGCATCTTAGCCAATCGAATACTCACAGAAAACGTCCCAATAAGTGAATCAAATCTCAGCTTCCTTGAATTCAAAACCTAATAATTCAAACAAAAAATTCGCAAAATGAAAAAAAAGGTACGTTTAGAGCATTTTAATAATAAGTCCTCGTGGTAACCGTGGGTAAAAGGATCAAAAAGAAAGGAAATTTAGAGCTTCTATGGTAACAGAAGAAATATACGYACATATATATATTTATAAAATAACTGTTATGAATGTCGCGTTCTGATTGGTTTGGAGCGCATGCTTTATGAGAGCACATTGCACGCGCGCGCACTTTCAGTTGCGTCATTCCTATTTATTATTGTTATTTGTATTTTATAAAAGATATAAAGAACTTGCTTGCTGTGTCGTGTGCTGTCATAAAGCACTTGGGGATTGGCAGAACACTCGAGAAGTGTCGAGAAGCACTCCGCTACGCGTCGTGCTTCTCCTAACACTTCTCTCATGTTCTGCCAACCCCCGCGTACTTTATGACAGCACACAGCACGCGCGCGCGTTTTCTATTTCTTCAATATATATTTATTATATAGTCTGGATAGTACACGGGTGCTGATTGGTCGAAGACTGTGCTTTATTAGTGAACAGAGCACAGTGCTTACGTCGTCCGCGCGCTTGAAGTATTGTTAGATCCTTCGATCGTCTTTCTTTTCGTGTAAATTAATTCAATACCGAAAAAAATTACTAGCTATATAATAAAACGAATAAACCAGCTTTTTCGCGTGCTCCATTCCGTAATAAAGCACTTAGGAAGCGTCGTAAGCGCCCAAGAAGTGTTATACTTCTTTCGCTTTCGGCACTTCCTGCGTGCTTTATTACTGAACGGAGCACGGAAAAAGCTGGTTTCTTTGTTAAATAAAACCAAAGCGTTTAAGTAATGGTACTTCACCATGGTAACGGGTGCTATCCTCGTGTCTGAGCAGAATGTTTGTCTCATGACAGGGCACGACAAACAAAGTTACTATTCTTATAATGGGAATAAGTTTGTGGTTATGGATAAAAAAGATGTTAAATTAAATGCTTCATTCAAGTGAAAGGGTGCATTTTAAGAAAAGAACAACTGCAAGACTTGTCAATCACACCAAGATCGCCCTACCTTCTTACATGCGAAGAAATTGACTACTTTAGCTTGGGTGCCAGAATGCTTTCCCATTTCAGACCACGTGTCATTCCCAAAAATATCATTTCTTTGTTTAACGTTTTCACATGAGAAGACACATGAATATCGATACAACTCAAACAAAGAATCTTATTCTCTAGAGAATGACACGTGGTCTGAAATGGGAAAACGTTATGCCCAAGCTTTTTTCCATTTCAGATCAAATATCATTTTCTAGAGTATCATTTCTTTTTTGGATGGTTGCGCATGAAAAGACATAAATATATATTGATGAAACTCAAACAGAGAATTAATTTACTCAATCTTGACACGTGATCTGAAATGAGAAATTATTATGCCTGGACGGATTGGGTCCACTGGGTTAAAACGTAGTGACATTTCCCCCTCATCCCCTCCGCCACCGGCCCCCACTCCTCCCCCCTCCTCCCAATCATGGTCGCTACGCAGGCTAAGTAATCATAAAGCGTAAGTAAACATGTGCGTGACAGGTGTCTACAGAGGCTAAAGTAGCTTATTATTAGAACGTGACAGGACCTTCAAATAAACATCAATCAAATGTTGTTGGAAAAAAAGCCTTATTTACCTCAAAAGTCATCATTTGATCAAAAAGCTCTGCTGCAACTGTTTTAAAGTTGAAGAAGAAGATCTAAAAATKATCAAATCATTATTTACAAAGCATTAAAAACGCTTGCTGTACTTCCACTTTAACTACACCTAACTACAGGTAGCCTAGTGTAATTAAGGGATTGTTAGTAAAATCTTTAAAAATATCTTGGCATAGAAGAGACTTAGAGAAGTTAGAGAATCGATTACGCTAACTCAGACGTTTTTGTTTCCTTGACGCATTTCCCCTCTCCTCTAACCTAACTTTCTTCTTTATAGACTTTTTACCAAACCAAGACTTGAGCTAGCTGCCTGTGTCCCTTACCTCATCAAAAAATGGTTTATTCGTGGATTTCTTTACTCTCGTCTGGCGAGCTTGATTGCTGACTGATACCTTGACGACTGGAGATACATTTGAACCTGCAATATTACGGCCCTCTATGACTCGAACTCGAACCTGGAGAGTAAATAAAACTGGTAAGCTGCTGTGACTGCTGCCACCAAAGCAAAATATTTCACTCATATTGGATTCTCTAACTATGGATACACGTAGCCTCGCATTTAAGTGCTTGAAAATAAAGAATAAGCATCAGTGGCTGTCTCGTGAGTAAGCACTAATGAAGTGATGAAGAAAGGGACAATCAATGTTAAATATATCCTTTTCTTATGTGATTATCTCGTGTCTCTCACCTGGAAATCAATAGCCTTGTTGGTAGGGAGCTTACTTCTCGCTTCCGAGATTTCTTTACTGACAGTCTGTACTTTCGGGGATTCTGGTGTTTTGGATTCGCTAAAGAAAAGAAAATAAGACGCTAAAAATAAGAGCAGGAACGTGGAGACTGGAAACTGGGAGTAGTCTTGCATGACTGTCTACTATTGATAAAATCTAACTGTCAGAATTTCTCTCAGAATAGTCTCTAAATATAAATAGGAAGGGAAGAGAAAAAAAGAAAACGAATAAGGAAGGAAGTTAGAATCAGAAACGAGATTGATGGAAATCGTAGGGAAGAAACAAAATGCAGTTTAGCAACATGATCTCACATTTCGAGCCTAACAGTTCTCTTCTCTTTTCTTCCGTTTCCTCAGTTTTCTTCTCTTTCCTTCCCTCAGTTCTCTTCTTTTTTTCCCTATCTTTCCCTTTGCTTCCCTTCTCTTCAATCAGTTCAGTTCAGTTCAGTTCTCTTCTCTTCCCTTCCCTTCCATCCCCTTCCCTTCTCTTCCCTTCTCTTCCCTTCTCTTCTCTTCTCTACTCTTCTCTTCCCCTTTCCACCTCCCTTCAACTCACGACTTACCTATCCTTCTTCTCAGCATCACCACCTTTATCCTTCTCAGACTTCAAAGATAATTTACTCTTTTTTGTATCATCTTCCTTTTTCTCATCTTTGGGAGCTTCCTTTTCTGGAGTGGTATCAGCACCACTACCTGAAGGTTCAACAGCATCTGAAGGTACTGGCGGTGGGGGAGGGGGTGGAGTTGGTTCTTCTGCTGGTGGGGGTGGTGGGGGTGGCGGCTCAGCTGCTGGTGTGGTACTGGGTTCACTTGGCTGATCCATGTTTCATCATTCCTGTATATAAAACCATTATAAAAAATAGTAGGAACTTGTAGATAAATTGGATCACCGTAAAAGGCTTTGTGAAACTGACGTTTCGGACGTTAGTCACGCAGTCCACGCTAGTTCTACTAGTTATCACCACTCATTATAAAAAATATAGAGTTTCAATTATACGTTATATGTTGACATCCTCGAAGTCTTCCTTTCCACTGTCGCCGTGCCGCAGGTAGCCCAATTTAAGATCAGTTACTATCTTTCAGTCCCCTTTCTTTTTTTTCACTTCCAGTTCCACAGGTAGCCCAATTCAAGATCAGTCACTATCTTTCCGTCCCCTCTCTTTTCTTTCTTTTTTTTTTCTTTTTTTTTTTTTTTCCCTTTTTTTTACACTGAATTTGAATATAACTCTAACAGAAAATATTTTTCTCAAGAAAAAGACACGTGGTCTGGAATGGTAAAACTCCTACACCCACGCCTATTCATCCCCTTATTCAAATGTAATTTTTTCATAATTCTCTGCTAAACAGTACGATATCCTAGGTTACTTGCTCTTTGTATTTAAACACAGTAGTTAAAATATTGTTCCTTGCCAAAACAGAAAACAAAAACAAAAGACAAAAAACAGGAAAAAAAAAACAGCGCAGTAAGCTGAGATAATACAGCTGCATTCAGACTTTCCTTCCTCGACTTTTAACAGTAATAATACTCGCCCAAGTGGCATTTAATAAATTACTTAAGATCCAAGCCAAACATTATAGCCAAATGACGCAATTAAACATCTTAATTACCCTTTAAGTCAAACTCAACTTCTAGTCATAAGCTTACCTGTAATGATGGTCAATAAGTCGAAACGTCATTGCGTATTTGAAAGTCGAATTACTAGTCAGGCTTTTAATTCCAGAAGTTTCTAGAAGCTTCCTTCGACTTATAAAATGTTTAATTACAATTCGTGATATATGCTCCACAAAAAACTACCGGCTTATCAACGAATAAATAATGTTTTCGACGACCCACATGAAGTTGAACACAACTGTTTTATTCAATTTTTCGCGCTCCTGCTTCTCAACCTCGCAAAATCACAGGAAACCCAATATTTCAATTGAGGGGAGGGTAGAGTTCGGAATCGGGAGGGTATCAAGTGCTTTTTTCTCATCATTTCGGCTCTTACAACAATAAAACAATAGCCAGGGATAATGAATTTGGAGCTGAACAATACGTGTAAAGCAAAAATCCTATCCCAGATTACGATAAAGCTTGCTACACCAAGAAAGAACCGTCATTTGCACTACCCTCCTATAGCAGAGGCCTTTTTCTGCTCTTCCTTTTGGTTGTAATGCGTATACGATAGCCTGTTTTATGAGTTATCCATATCGTCAGTGATAGCTTGAAATATCGACTCACGGAAAGTTTTTTGGTTTTATTCGTAATATCAATTTTTAAAATTATGATAAAATCAACCTGTAGAGGCCCCTACCTACACAATGCTACACGGGGGCTCGGTGTCGTATGTGAGTTGTTTGTTCCCTCTCCTGCGATCGAGTTCTTTGTTTTGGTTTCTCTCCCGTGCTTCAAAGTGTTTTTCCGGGTTCTCCAGTTTTCCTCCCTCCTCAAAAATCAACTCCTTAATTCCAATTCGATCATGGAACGAGGGCCACAGGTTTGTTAGCCACTATTACATGTAAGTGCTATCCTCATAAAACAATGAAGCAACGAGGGGTACGGTCAACGTCTAATAATATATCATCACGCATACCTTATAAATATTGTATGCAATGTAACAAAAGATCATATTTTCAAAAAGTCTTTCAAGAAACAGAGACGGAAATCAAATCAGTGAGGAATAAATGGAAAATTCAAGCATTTATCACATAAAAACCTTGTTTAGGCGTTCTCGTACGGAAATAAGGAGATTTTTGTGAGGAGTATAGCAGGTATATAACTTGATTTTTCATCATTATCTATAGATGGCTACACTACGTAGCAATACTGACTATCGAAAAATTACGATTTCATCTCATCGTTTGTTTGAATATATACACAGCTCGTACTCGTACTGTTGTGAAAAAAAGATTTAAGAGGTGTACCTGAATATTCAACCTGAACGCTTTTCATCTGTGAAATAAACCATTTCCCATAGGGAATTAYATTATGTTCACTGATATAACCTAAATTAAATCTTATTCTTAACAATGAGCGTCGAAAAACAAATATTAAAGTACAATTAAAAAGCATTAGGCGGTTAAGCGAGTAAAAAAGAAAACGTGGTAAAAGTAGTTGGTGTAGGATTAAACATGTTGCAGATATGATTTATCAATTAAACTTTCATAAATATTGTTGAAAATATTAGCTACGAAATATTTCTTACCAAGCTAGGTTGGTGCTTGTTTTATCTTTTACTCGATACCAAGAATCCACTGATAGTCAAGTATAAAGAGTGATCAGGTTATCCAAAAAACGGTGATTTTGAAGTTTTCGACTTTTAACTCTTTCAGTTAACACTGATGATCTAACGCTAACGTTAACAAAACATAATAATACTGCAATTCTATTGCCCGTTTCTTTTTAATATTTTTGAATAAATAAGCCTGGGGGTGGCTTTATGCTTATGTTGTCAGGGTGAGCTATACTAGCAGCTCTTCGTTCCTCAAAAGAAGTTTGGTAACCATGTCAAAGATAAACCTTTGCTTTTGGGTGTTTCATAAATATGATTCCAACAAAATTTTTTAAAAGGTTCAGATCGATTACGATTTTAATTGCCTTTCAAAAACATAAGGGCACAAATTTCCAAGTTAAAAACTTTTTCATGCAAAAGTTTACAGGCTTCCTTGTCAAGTTGACAATACTTTGCACACATTGAGCGACACACGCCAATTTAAATAATCAAGCCTTTTAATGAAAGCGTCATTCAATAGCGTCAGAATAAGCAGATAATCTTGTTGTCTAATATAATAGTTTAATCTTTTCACATAACATTCTCTCGAATAACGCTGGTTAAAATGAAAACCAAAATGTTGGAATTAGGAATTTTTTTAATTGGCTGGGTGGGATAAATCCGAGCGTTTTGGGGTGTTTTCCAAACCATGAATTATTCATGACGGTCACTTGAGACTAGCCTGCGTGCAGAATGAATTAAACTCTGGTTAAATTGCCCTAATTCACTATGACGTCACATCAAAACAATCTATTGTTTAAATGCAAAGGATCATGGTCGTCGGAGGGGGTCAAATCAACGCAAGTTCACCGGCAATTGTTCTAAAACCCGTATCAATCAACAAAGAGAAGTAAAATAGCCAGCAAACGCTCAGAATATTTTTTAGTTTATATCAACACATATTATATCTGAAAACCAGGGCATTTTAGATTAAACTGTTTCGCTAAGAGCAAATTTTGTTGAATTTTCTATTGGATCTGGCGATTCTATCCCCCACATAAACAAGCAGTGACGTCATAGTGAAATAGGGCAATTCGGTCTGCACGCAGGCTACTGTCGTGTAGTCACGCATGGCCCAAACACAGGGAGCCCAATTTTTTCATTCTTTTTAGCTTGTTTTTTTCTCCAAATGAAAAAATCAGTTTTGGCGATTGATTTTCTTATTTAACCTTTCACTTTTGGTACACAAAAAAACTGACTGTAGCCCATGGTTTTGATCGATTTGGGATGTTTTTTTTCCATATTTTTTCTAAGACTAAGAATTATTTGTGATTATGAATATGGTCACTTAAAACCATTGATGTCAATGTCAAAAAATTACTAGTAAGTAGATTAAATTCCATATCAAGTTCAAGATTATAAAGACAAAATGCAATATAAAGTTGGAGCTTATAAAGATAAAATGCCATATTAAGTTCAAGTTTTATTTGATTTGATGTTGACACATTTCATTATGTTGAGAATACCTTTCTCGTGGCATATTGAAGGTAGAAAGAAATAATGGGGAAAATATTATAAAAAGTCCTTGATACCATACAAAATGTCAGCACTTTTCAGCTTCGGACATACTCTATACAGCATAGAGTCATTGTGACAGTAATTGAACACATAATACAGCAATATTAAATTCACCATCTTACATTGTTATTATCTTGTATAAAATGTATTTCAATTTATCAGTCAATGCAATACTACACTTCATTAAAACCTCTCACTTGTCCTTGAGCTATGAGAAACATTGACATAGCATGTCCCTATTTTATGTCTGCTATCAATGTTGACTGTAATAATAGATTTGTTAGCACTGATATATAAGCCATACATACATTCAAGGGCCTCAAGAGGGGTTTTAACCAGGCATCAAATGGACACCACATAAGAGAGGTTCAAGATAAGGGTAGATTCTTCAAGTAAGTTAAAAAATTGCATCAAATTAAAGGTTGGTCATATAACAGCAAAGAAACAGTGTGACTGATCATTGTTTTGTCCCCAAGAACAATTCCTCTTGGGATTCAGTGCCAGGGGTCTATTCAACTTGGTCACAATGCTTTCCCAGTTTAGACCATGTGTCATTCTCTGGAGCATAAAATGCTTTGTTTCAGTTGATATATACATTCATCTTCAAACAAACGAATGGTACTCTAGGGAGTGACACATGGTCTGAAATAGGATAGCATTACATTCAAGGTAGAGGTTTATTTCTCTGACATTCTACATGATTAATTAAAAGACTATTCTAAGAATATGTAAAATACAGTAGCAGACTTTAAAAGCCTTCAATATATCGAATCATAAATTAAGACTTTGATGACTGGACTAGGATATGGTAATACAAATAAGAATGAAACATCAAAACAAAGCTCACATGACAAACTTTTTGGTTAAGAATGACAATGCTATCTATAAAATGCCTAAAGATATATACAGGTTTGAAATCTGCATGGATAATCTACTTAGCTAAGTTGTTCAAAGTCCTGTAAAGGCTGAGGAAGATCTTGTAGATGAATAGATGTAAACTCTGGTAATTCATCTGGGAGATCTTCCTCAAAAACTAATGAATTAACTGTCTCCATTTTGGGTTTTGAATCTTCTTTTGGGGTGTCAGAGAGATTATGTTCCTCGCATAGGTACTGTCCATCAGTGATGCAGGTGACCTGGCCTTCCGCATGAGGTTTGCAAAATGAATTTGGACACTCATTGCACATGATAGTGGCTCTCTTACCACAGACATCGCAGAAATGCCAAGGACAAAGCCATCTGCCATGTGGTTTCTTTGCAAGCTCAAGACAGTTGACATGGTAGCACTTTGCACAGCCATTCTTGTCGCACATGATCAGCTGCCCTCCATCTCCACAGATAAAGCATTCATCTTCGTGCACTAAAAAATAATCATAACTTTATTTAGCACCTAAAATCACATCCTGTAATTTACACCTAATTGAAAAAACGTTGTCAGGTTCAAAAAAAGAATTCTGTGCATTACATTAATCGACACCATACAGACTTTGCCACCCAACCAACACACATCCATACAACATCTACATGTAACTAACCAGGATTGTCTATACATAATATTTTTATAACCTATTTAAGTTTTTAGCGTTGAATTTAAATTTATAATGCATGAAATGGTTTAAGCAGGTTTTATGTACGATGACTGCATGATGCAGTGATGAATGGTTATCAATTTGAACTCTAATAATATTACCATATTGGCAGTAATAATTCTTCAAAAAGATTTTGGGTTATAAATTAAATGTTTAAACATCATTATTTTAGTAATTTTCAAACCTGTTTTAGCATTTAGATTTTAAGAAATAGCCTGTGGTGGGTCAAAAGTCCATGGTAAAACACTGTTCAATGGTGAAGAGCCAGTAAATTTAACTTGAGAAGATTCAGAATTCAAATTTAAGCCATCAAACTTTGCCTGGCTGCTATCAACAGATTGTTCATAGTTTGACATTGTTGTTGTTGCAGATTCATTCACAGTGGGAGGACAACTACGTTTTCTCCGCTGTAGAGAACTGTCTTTCCTCTTTGGTTCTGGAAAAACTGAATTGAATGATAAATTTGGTAAAAATTATCATCTCATAATAATAAATTGACTTTGCAACTGAATTAAAGCCTTCTGGATGCCATAAATTCCAAACTTTAAAGCTTTTAAAAATAGTTAAAAAGATAGAAAAATGTATCTCTTTAAATGGCCATAAGTGAAAAATTTATCAAGCTTATGGGTTAAAGAATTATTTAACTTTAGAAACAGCAATTCTGTTATTATATTTAAACATGAAATTATGATCTAATCTAGGAGCAGTTTTGACCAAATTACTTAATTCTTAATAAAGTTCATTCCAAAAGCATGAGATTTAATACACTCTTATCTCGATTAATGTTTTCACAATTAAAGGCTAAAAGAACTCTTACAGTGCAAACGTACGACCACATTTAATGCATTTTCATACTTCTATGCACAGGTTGTTGTACGTTAAACTGACACATTTTGATGCGAAGCTGGCTGGTTTTACCAAATAAGGAAGATACATTCAATGTGGTCATACTCTTGTGCATTGTGCTGTAAAAAATTAATGCACATTTACATTCAAAATACTGTTAGTTAAAAAATAATTTATAAAATTCAGATCAAATATTAGTCAAAGTAAAAAGAGCAGTAGCAATGAAAGACAAGGCAAAAATTCTTTATACCTTACCTTCTTTGACAACAGTTTTTTTTTGTCTCTTTTTCTTCTTGGCGGCAGCCTTCTTTATCCTATCTTCCATCATCTGTGCATTCTGTGTCTTAGGTCTGACCCCAAGGAAACCACTACAGTTTCCTGACCCACAGTGACATTTCTTTTTCTCATTGCCTGTGTGAATAGACAAATGTGATTATCAAAACTGTTGTAGTTTCTTTCTCTCTTTATTTATAATAATCACAGTAAACTATTTGAAATGTGAAATGGGCTAACAAACATGGTGGCTGCCAGCTGACATGAGTAAAGCAACAACTGTGGGGACTGGTAATAAGTATTAAGTCACGTGTTAATATGAATATATCTAACAAAACTACAACAAAATGACATCATTTCCCACCAAAATTTATTGGCACTGGTAGGCTTATATTTTAAGCCTAAACAATGTTCACGTCTGACTTGCAAACAGAATGTCGCAGGTTTAAATCCTGCCTGGAGCTCAGAATTCTTTTTCAAGAAAAATATGCTTTAAGAAACATAAATCATATCTTTATTGTTACAGCTAATTCACCCATGCGTGACCAGTTATTCCAGGAAATCAGACGTAGCTTTCAAGACTTCATAAATTTCAAATTACCAACAATCAACTACTCAAGATAATCCAAGACAATTAGGTTTCAAACCCACTATCATGAATGATTGTTAAATATTTTTCAAAAGATCACATCACTGAGAATTAGCTTGAAAATCTTTATCTTTTAAGTTAAAAGTAATTTGAATTGCCAGAGTCTTGAGCATAGTTGCCACCTACAGACTCGAAATTTCAGATTAAGGTGCCGAAAGTCCAATCAAGACATAATTGATACTGGTCTCGCATGATGTGAATTAGCTGTAAAACATAAACTATTACTAAACTATTATATATTGCATACCTCTACAGTCAAGCCTGTAATCGAAGGTCACTTCCTCTCCTGTTTCAATATCTCTTGTGGCGAACAACCCTACACGGACGTCGCCATTAACAGTCCATTTCTGAGTTTCACTGTTTGGATCACAACTGTGATTCATAAACCGGGAGAGGTTCCCCATTGGTCCAGCATCTATGATGCAGTCCTTGTCGATAGTTAACATGTAATAGTTTGTGTCGTCGTCTCCCTTTTTGACCCGTTCAAGGCAAGTACTTTCATCAATCAGTTCACCAACATACTCTATCACAAAGGAGCCCTTTTTTATGTCTACAATGGAAAAAAATAGGTAAAATATAAGTCAGAATTTGTTTACTAGCCTCCCAAAACTCCTTAACCCTTATTTAGTTTAATTAATTTGCCACAAAAATACGAGATGATGATGATGATGATGATGATGATGATGCACTTTATTTAACCACAAAGTTCCATCAGTTATACAACTGCTTTACATGAAAATAAAGCCATGTAATAATAAATAATAATACTAACTACTATAGGAAAATAGTCTATACATGTACACAATATACTATTACGAATACTATGCAATAAGCCTTTTCATAGTTTAAGAATCGATTCCACTGTGCATGCGATTTTATCCTGAATTTCTCACCTTCTTTTGTTTAATTAAGAACAAAAGAAGGTTTAGACAAAAGAAGGTGAGAAATTCGGGATAAAATCGCATGCGCAGTGGAATCGATTCTTAAACTATGAAAAGACTTATACCAATTCTTATAAATAACAGTTGCAATATAAAAGAATATAAAATATAGAAATATAAATTTATGAGTATACCAATCACTGGTTTTCATTGAGACGTAGTGTTATAAATTCTTCTCTTAAAATAACAATGTTGATAATTATTGTCTGATTTCAGCCAGAAGAGAGTTGGAAATATGGAAATGATTTCTTTGAGTAGCTTGTTTTTGGCAGAGGGAGAGAGGATGGAGTGGCGGAAAATTTCCCACCTAAAATCCCCCCCTCCCCTTGAATCAAGGGAGAGACCCAACAAATTCAACCAGCAATTGCAACACAAGTCCAGAAATTGTAGTAGATACCATAGAGGTGAGAGGCAAGTGCATACACTACATGTATGTCAAAAATATTTCCTCTAAGTGCTACATAAAGTGTAACTTCAAAACAAAACAAAAAACAATCTATTTATTTATCTATATTTTAGAAACAGAATAAAAAGAGAGCAGAAACAAACCTTGTTTAGTTCTCAATCCCCATCCTCTACTCTTTGCTCTGAAAGGTTCAACTTCTGCATATTCCCGTTTAGTGAAGCGTTGATTTTCACATTTCTCACCAGCTGGACATTTCTGAGTGCATTCAAATTGAAGCATGCGGTTCAGACAGTTGGATTCAGGCCCACAGAATGTGTTCTGTGCAGCAGAACACTCACATGTCGGCATCTCGTTGAGGTCTATTAGGATACGCTGTGCTGTTGTACACTTATTTACCTAGAAACAAAATATTTCTTAAGTACAAAGGTACATGGCAGCCATGTTATGAGGCAAAACGAGGTAAGATATCATTAAACTTCTGGTAAACAGCTATTTCAAAAAAGGTTGGTGACGGTTGGTCTTGCATACCAAGCCAAAAATGCACTATGGACAATGTGTATACAAACAACGAAAGGTCACAATATGGAATTTTCATAGCATGTAGCATACCATGTGCTATGAAGCCCCTGAAACGCCCCCGCAGCAACCAAAGACCGCTGGCCAGCGTGCCTTGACTTTAACTTTGCCAAAATTCCTTTAGCCCCATTTAGCGCCATTGAATGACATCATCCCAACAAGCATTCACACACCAAATTCATGCACAGAAAGGATGCACTCGAGGAATGCCCATGAACATTGTAGTTATTCAGTGCAAAACCTCTTTTAGTCACTAGAGAGAGGTTTGCTGCTGAACAAATATTCTACTTTAGTATTTAATCTATAAAATCAGGCTTGCAAGTGACATTGTATACCTTGACATGTTTGAATGGGGCAGGTTTCTTGGACAGTTTTTGTAAGTCTTGCTCAGCCTTGTTTTCTCTGGCTGTCTTCCATTCGGCATACTTCTCCTTCGCCTCAACGAGTGCTAAAATTACAAATGTAGCATTACAATTTATTTAGCATTATTTTGTTGACCCATTTTAAGTTTAATTACAGATTAGAAAAGCAGTGAATATAAATGTGTGTGCAGAAAATGGAAAATGATGAAAACAGATAGAAGATACCATGAAATAATGTTCTTTGTGTGAGGGACAAAGTAAGAAAATGGATATACTCAACAACCAGCAATGCAAAATTAAGAGTACTCATTGTTTACTAAAAACCAAGGGGCTATATGGACAACACAGAGAGAGAGAGAGAAAGAGAGAGAGAGAGGCTGGAGGACGAGGGAAATAGAACATCATTGCATCATTTACTACCACTACCAAACTCCTCTGCACACTTTTTTTGTTCAGTTAATTAGTACCAATTGTCTTACTATTATCATGAGGGAATACAAATTTGAATAAGAAAGAAAATTGGTGAAGCAAAATTGGTAGTGATTGTAAAATGACACTATCATGCAAACAGCCTATATATAGTCCTCATGTTTTGCTAATAATCACTAAATTCTTAAAGAAAGTTCCCCTAATTTTTTATTATTTAAAAAAAAATCAAAGTCCCTCCCTGATCATTATTGTGCATCACAATCCCTGGACTATATTTTGAAAGGTTAATAAACTTATTAGTTCTGCTCAATAAACTTTGGCTTTGATCAGATGCATTTACCTTTCTTGAAGACCTTAGCAAGGTATTTGTTAGCACTTGACTCTGTTCCCTTGTCACCATCTTGGTAACTGAAAACCCTTCCTTTGTGAATCCAGTAGTAATCATGAGAGCCAAGAAACATCACTGGGAATTCTCCTGGTTGATGACGTTTATTCTGGATGTTGGTTGGTACCTCACGAGGGTTACAGATCTGTGCTGGCCACCATCTGTCATGTAGAAGTAGAATGAAAGCTTAACATACATTGGTCCTTAGTTAAACAAGTGTTTGGGCTAGACTACTAAAGATCAAACTATGACTTGATTAGTAGGCAACTCAAGCCACACTTGCTTCTCATAAGAAGTGTGCGAAATCAGTGATAATCAAATTTTGGACCACTTGCTTATTAAGAGGCAGTCTCTGTAAAAGCGGCMCACTGCATTTCGGGTCAGAAAATAGTTTTCCCTCAAACTTTTACCATAGAAAGGTAATTACTAGTAAGTAATGAAAATGACTTTATTTTCTCGAAATTCATCAAAATGATTTTTTTACAGCGCATAAATCCTGGACCACCGTTATCACTAAATTTACATTTATTATCAATTGAA